TAATGTTTCAACAGAAACCTGATGGTTTTGGAGGCTCCAAGGCAGCTGCTCTCCGTTTCTGGTGCTCACTAACACTGCTGGACTTGGAGAGCACTCCAAGCTCTACCTCTGTCAACATGTCACCTTCCTCCTTGTGTGTGTCTTCTCTACATGTCTCTTCAAAGGATCCATTCAGATTATAGAGGATGAACTCATATCAAAATCCTTAACTCCATTGCTTCGGCATACCCCCTTTTTCCAGAAGTAACTTTATTAGGTTCTTGGGATTAATATGTGCCTATAACCATTCTCTGGACCACCATTCAACCTTCAATGGCTAAATGGAATATAATTTATTACAACCCCCTTTTTGCAATGAGACAATGATACTGAAAAATTTACTTCAGAGTCACAGGCTAATTAATGGCAAAACAGTTTTACCACGAAGTTACTCCAAACTTTTTTTTTTCAAAATTTTTGTTTAGCTATAAAAAAAAATAAACTTATTTGTGCAGGAAATATTTTTTCACATTTGCATGTCAATACTAATGTTCTTAAAGAGTTTTCTCTTAGCATTTTGGAAAGAGCTACTGTTTGCAAAACTCTTGAACTTTGGTTGGAAATAAGAGTCATGTCATTTATTCAGAGGCATAATCATAGCCAGTGGGTAATGAACTGTGACTATGTGCCAGTCATCAGATTTTGCATGGATTGCCTAATTAAGTGTAGTGTAGATAGTGCTTTAAAAACCGGTCAGTGCTGGACACCGTGGTGGATGCCTATTGTCCCCGTGGCTAGGCAGGCTGAGTGAGGAGGATCGCGAGTTCAAAGCCAGCCTCAGCAACAAGGCACTTAGCAACTCAGTCAGACCCTGTCTCTAGATAAAAAATACAAAATAGGACTGGGGATGTGGCTCAGTGGTTGAGTGCCTCTAAGTTCAATCCCCAGTACCAATAAATAAATAAATAAATAAATAAATAAAAGGTCAGCTATCCAACAGTCCTGAGTCTAAATTCAGCAACAGCATTGACTCTTAGGAAACCCTTGTAAAGTCAATTAAATGGTCTAACCTCCATTTTCATAACCTGAATTAGGAGATTAGAATTAAGAGTGATTCTAGAACATCCCTCACTGGATTGTCCCAAGACATGAGAAAATGGATCCACCCATCCTTTAAAAGTGTGTGGGTCTTAAGGTGTCTTCCATTAATTGTATCTAGACTGTATCTTCTTTGGATCAGAAGACACTGTATTTAACGCACTTGCTAATATATTAGGGTTTAGTTCCCTAGAATGAATGCTTCCTCAAAATCAAAAGTAGCCAGACATATGCAAAAAATAACTTCCCTAAAAAGCTTCATCTCTAACACAATACCCCAAGCACTGGGGAAAGTTGGATCTCTGCTAATATTTCTCCACCATTAACAAAAGCTTCCAGGACCCAGTCTTGATAGTTCTGCTGAGGCTGCAATTGTCATGAAGCTTTTGTCTCTTTTGGAAGGATCTTTGAGAATTATAAATCATGAATACAAGACTCTGCAATGTCCAAATAAAAAAAAAGCACTTTAACTGGTATGTTTTTATTGAATACTGTACTTCACAAGCACACATTTGACGTTTTTCAGTAGATTTGCATGTTTTGGTGTTAGCATGCTTTGAAAGCTGGAAGAAAGGGAAAAAGTAACTCATGCTAATGACAGAGTGCATAGCTGAGAGGAATGCTCCCAGAGGACCCAGTAAAGATCAGTGTGAAAGCCTCACTTTATAGAACATCTTTATTCATGGCTGTGAAAGGGGAACAAACAGCTCACTAATTACCCTCATCAGGGATGTGATGCAAACATCACTGGGGAAGACAATAATAAAAAAGAGGATATAAACGCTTACAGACCAGATGAAAAATAGATTGAAATGGATGTAAAGTATGTGAGCTAATAAATCTGGAGGGAGAAAAAAAAAAAAAAAACCAAACCTCAATCTCCATGCATGTAAAAAAAAAAAAAAAAAACAGAGTCTGGAAAGTAAGTGACTGTGTGACCATTCAACAGGAAAAAAGACTGTTCAAGTGATTTTAAATCAGAATGAAAAGTAAGAGGATAAAATTGTGGAAAGAAAATTTGGTAAGACTATCAGAAAAACATTTCCTAGCAGCAAAATCTATTAAAGCAGGGAATAATTTCCCCAAGGACTTGAAGTTTTTTGGTCTGATTATTTTAAAATTAGACTAGTCAAACCACTGGGAAATGGCTGGTCTGGAGTTTAATCCATCTTGAATTGGCAAGGAAAGGCATGCAGGATGATCTAAGGAGTTGATCAACCGCGTATTCCTAAACTTGTACTAAACATGACTAACCACTTGTTTTGTTCATATCCCCATTTGCCTCCCAGAAACTGAAACTAGCACATAGAAATCTGTAATGCACTCAATGTGTTAAATAGAATTCACGTTGAGTGCATTAAACACATGCTCAAGGGAAAAGATTTTCCTTGGGCACTGAGATCGCAGAGACCTTCATTCCTTGATTTGGATATGATTTATCCCTCAAAGGTTCATGTGCTAGAAGTTTGGTCCCCAGTGTGGCAGTGTTGAGGGGGTGACAACTTTAAGAAGCAGGACCTGGTGGGAGATAGTCACAGGGGCTCCACCTTCTTGAATAGATTAATGTTGTCTTGCAAGAGTGAGTTAGGTTCTGGAACTGGATTAATTCTCTTGACAGTGAGATGTTATAAAAGGGAAAGCCCAACCCTTCCCCGGCTCTTGCTTTCCTGTTTCCACAGCAACCCATCTGTATGCAGCTGATTCTCTTCTCTGCTTCTCCACCATGTTGTGATGCAGCCAGAGGTCTTCCCCAGAGCTGTCACCATGCTGTGTGAATTTCCCAGCAAATGAACCTCTATTTTTCTGCATTGCCTAGTGTCACATATTCTATTAAAGCAAAACAAAACAGAGTAAGATTCTCACTTTTCGGCGGGGGGGGGGGGGTAACTAACTTATATGAACTGCTGTAAAGGAAGGCTACATACAGTTCATTCCTTCCTTCCACCTTTGCTGTCTCTGAGTCCAGTCCAAACACCTTAACACAGTTAAAAAGGTACGACCTTAGCTAAAAAGGCACGACTTAAATCATAAGTCTAGCCCACAATTTCGCTAATGTTCACCATGGTCTCCATTATCTTCATATAGTTCATTAAGAATTCAGTGTTCTGTGATCACTTACACTGTTAACTCTGCCTGAAGTGATGCCTACTCAGCTCTGAATGGGTGAGCAGAGAAAGGAAAATGAAGGGAGACTGAAAACCACAGGGAGTCTTATCTGATGGCCAAACACCTGGAAGATGGGAGTCTGATATTTCAAAACCTCCCCCCAGACATAATTACATCTCTTTAAGAAAAAATTTTGCTTCAAAATTAGTTCACACCCTACCAAGTAGTTCACACCCTACCAAGTGGCCTTATCATCCTCTTCACTGAAACTATCACAAGCCCCAATCACTCTGGCAGCCACAAAAAAAAAAAAAAAACAAAAAAAACAAAAAAAAAACTTTGCTGAGGGCTATTCAAAGGGTAATGAATTGATTAAGGAGGCAAGAAATTTAAGCAAAACCAGGGGACTCAATTTCCTTAATCTCCAACTCTGTGACTGTCACACCATCCTCTCTTTGATTAGTCAGTGCAGCTCCTCTGCTGTCAGTCAGAAGCTAAGAGGTGGACCTGGCTGAGACTCTCTGAAGACTTTCAATAAAAGTAGAGGGCAGGAAGGACACACCATCCCTCTCCTCTCTGAAAAAAATCTCACTGTCTCCCTTGACAGTGTTCTCTTTTCCCTTTTTCTATCCCTAATAAACTCATGCCTGCTACTCTGACTGGTATGTCTGAAGTCTTTTCTGGTGGTGCTATCAGAAGAATTAGGGTGAAAGGGGGCTTCTGCAGCTGACTCAGCTTTGTAGTAGGCCTTGCCTCCATAACAATTTCATTACACACTTTGTACAAGAGAAACTTCTGCTGCTTGCACAGTTATTTCCATGGAGAGTTTAAATGAGACAACAGTTTCCTATGCTCCTATGGTACATTTCTCTGATCTAAACACTATCCATGGGATATTGTATACACCAACGTATTTCAGTTTATAAGAATGTATGTGTGTGTGTGTGTGTGTGTGTGTGTGTGTGTGTGTGTGTATCTGCTCTCTTCTCTTACCACCTAGTTCAGTAACTGATATGCTTTGGATGTTAGGTGCCCCCCCAAAAGCTCACATGTGAGATAATGAAGAAGGTTCAGAGGAGAAAAGGTTTACTAGAGGGCTTATGGTTTCAGAGGTCTTAGTTCATAAGGCCAGCTCCATTTCTTGGGGCTTGAGATGAGGCTGAACATCATGGCACAGTGATGCAGGGATGCAGCTCACATCATGGTGATCAAGAAGCAGAGATAGGTCTCCGTTTGCCAGATACAAATATATATCCCCAAGTCATGCCCTAATTCCTACCTCCTCCAGCCACACCATACCACTCAGTTACCACTCAGTTAATCCCTATCATGAGGTTAATACACTGATTGGATCAAGACTATCATAACCCAATCATTTCTATTCTGAACCATCTTGCATTGTCTCACCTGTAAGCTTTTGGGAGACACCTCACATCCAAACCATAACAGTGTCTAAAATGCAGAATTTCTAAAGGCATTTTTGAAGATGTGTGGATAAACCACCTATTGCTACGATAATGCCATGTAGAAAACTGCCCTAAAATGAAAGAACTATACTAATATTTTATATATACTCTTGTGCGGGCAGGTCATCTGGAATCTGGCTGAATAAGCCAATGGGCTTGGCCAGGCTCGGAAGTAAGCTGAACATAGATACTTTATTTGATGTGTCTCTAATTCTTCTTGGATCAATGGGTCCACCAAGACATGTTCTTCTAATTACCATGGCAGAAATGCAAGAAGGGTAAGCACAAATGGGACATGCTGCTAAAATTCTAAATGTGGAACTGTCACAGTCATTTTTGCTCATTTTCCAGTGATCAAAGGAAGTCACATTACCATCAGTGGGGCAGAGGAATGTACTTCACTACCAGTGAGAGGAAGTGTAAAGGCATATGACAAAGGTAGTAATATGAGGTAAAGTGAAGGATTGAAAATGACAACCCATTCCCCACAATACAAATAAATCATTGTGGTACAATTAAAGCATATGGAAGTCAGAGGACAGAGAAATGTTTCTCATTAAATCGTGCTGTTGCTCAAATGGGATAAGGTAAATGCCTCAGAAAACTGTAGATTACTAGTATGAGCCCCAAAGTCAATCTGGTTATAAACTTGATTGAATATTAGTTGTTTCGGTGTGACTTCAGTATACTAGAGAGTTTGTTAGAAATACTCACCATGTTTAGTATCTGTCTGAAAAAGTTAAGAGTGAAGAACAACATGTAGTGTAAGACACTTTTATAAAGTCAACAAAGTGATAAAATCTGTATTAATCAATGGTTTGCTTCAATTCTTTGTAACATAAAACTTACTTCTTATGTAATTTACATCTCCATGAAAATCAGGCCATAGTCCAGGATCTGTACTTAAATCATCTAAAGAACAGGGGTAAAAAAAAGCAATTCAACTAATTGTTTTGCTGTTTTAGTAAATTGAACCCTAATCACAAAATTAAGTGTCCTTTTATGAGGATACATAATAGAGTGACATCTTTAGGTAGTTGTCAATAAAATGACTCTAAGAGTTTCAATTAAAATGTGATCTCCTTAAAAAACAAACAAACAAACAAAAAAAAAAAAAAACTGACTACTCTCAAACTTGCTCTGTAGAAGAGATGGGAGGAGAATATGGCTGGTGCTCATTGGTCCCATGATAGAATAAACATATCTCTTGACCCATTAACCAGAAGAACATAGAGGTTCATTGTGCAGCATTTGGAGATAAACACTTGAAATCATTTATTTACTTATTATGTGGCTAAGTCAAGTTATTCATTCTCTAAATCTCAGAAGATCAGAGCCCAACCTGCCCCATACTGTCATAACCATTCAATGATAATAGTGAGAAAGGGAGATTCACATCTTTTAAATTTTGCTCTCCTGTTATATGGCACAATTATCTGGCTACTGGTATACCTTTAGGCAATTTTAACTGGATTTATGAATAACTGGCCATGGGATTAGCAATTTTTCAGATATATGGGAGTTCATTCATGGTTATTTTCCTCAGATTTGTGGTAAAGATACACTGGAGGTTCCAATTATGTTGACCATATAATAAACATAAACATGAACATTTCTGAGAGCAAAAATAAGCACTATTTTTTGTTATTTTTTCGTTTTTTTGTTACTGGGGATTGAACCCAGGGATACTTAACCACTAAGCCATATCTACAGCCTTTTTTATTTTTTATTTTGAGATAGGTTCTCACTAAGTTTCTTAGGGCCTTGCTAAGTTACTGAGAATAGCCTCAAACTTGTGATCTTCCTGCCTCAGCCTCCCTTGTTGCTGGGATTATAGGCATGCTCCACCGCGCCTGGCAAAAACAGGCAATAATAATAATAATAATAATGGAACATTGGTCACAAACAGACTGTTCTAGGTTTCCAAGGCATTTTGGAAAACCTCAATCTAGGAGACAGAGTATTGTTTATAAACTGTAGTTATATCATGCCCTGGTGTATCAACTCAAATTCAATACGCCTCAAATTTTGTTAGCTCTGCTTCTCATAATGTTTTCTAATAACTTACAACTTTGTTTTTCACGTGTTAATTGTGTTTCTCCTGAGCCTTAAATCTCACAAATTTATGCAGAAATCTACAGAAGTGTTTTAATTTTTATGTATACCATAATTATAAATGGGCTGAATGCATTCTCCCAAAAGTCATATTCACTATAACTTAAAGAGATAATTAAGGAAAGACAGTGGAATAAGATGAATCCTAGGTACATGTATGACTGCACATATGGTGTGACTCTACATCATGTACAGCCAGAGAAATGAAAAGTTGTGCTCCATTTGTGTACAATGAATTGAAAGGCAATCTCCTGCCATGTATAACTAATTACAACAAATTAAAAAAAGGGGGGGCGCTTAAGGGTGAGGCCATAGGAGCAGGCCCTGATCCACCATGACTGAACCTCTTCTTAGAAGAATTTAGGGTAAAAGCACAGAGGACAGATAGCATGAATATGTGAGGAAAAGATAGCCACATATGTGTCAAGCAGAGGGCTCTGAAGAAAATATATAAGAACCAAAATTTAAGATCTGGTAGTTTTAGAAATGCTTGCTGAATGGTGTTCATTAGACTATTAGTGTCAAGATACAATTTCCTATGGAAATCCAAATTAGTTTGAATTGCATATAAGACAATGAGAGATTCCTCATAGCATTAGAGTATTGAGATAAATATGTGTTAGCCCATAATTTTCTATTCTATTATAAGCAAAATAGAAGAGACAGTGATAAAGATGTAAAACATTAGCTAATATTGTTGTATTTAGTTGTGGACTTGCATGCACAGCTTACTTTCTACCTGGTATAGTGCTTGACATGCTACATTGCATGTATTTTTTTTAAAAAAAAAGCAATTATAAATGCATATATTTATATAAATTTCTAACAATGTTACATTTTGCTTGATAATTCTTTGGATTTTTGTTGGTTTAATTAAATATTTGCAATATTTTCACTTTTGAGCTTTTCCTCCTTTCAAGTTATCTCAAGTATTTTGTCACAGTGATAGAAAGCTGAAAATATAGTATAAGGATGCTTATAATCTACATTTGCTTTTTAAAGCAAAACATATTTTCACATCATGAATACCCTCTTTCCCTCTTTTTTTTACTTTTCTTTCCTTTTTGTTTTAAGTTTCAGATTTATAACAGGTCAATTAAAAGATAACTATTTTTCTGACTTTAGGCTTCACTCACCATTAAACAATTCAAGTTTCCATTTACTACATATAGAATCAGTATGGATAAATACAAGGTTACATAAGTTATGCATTATGGTTTGGATTTTAAATGTCACCCAAAGGCCCATATACCGAAAATGAGGTGAGTAACTTGTGGCATTATTGAGAAGTGGTAGAATCTTTAGGAGGTTAGGCCTAGTGGAGGGCAGTTAGGTCAGAGAAGGTGTGCCATTGATAGCAATATAGGGACCCAGCCCTTTTTGATTGCCAGATGCCATGAGGTGAGAAGCTTTGTTTTACCACACAGCTCTCCACCATGATGTTCTGCCTCACCTTAAGTCCAAAAGTGATGGGGTGATCTAACCATGGAAAGAAACCTCTGAAACCATGAGCCAAAATAAACTTTTCCTCCTTTTAAGTTGCTTATCTCAAGTATTTTCTCACAAAGAGAGAAAACTAATAACAGTATGATAAAGGATGCATTATAATCCATATTTGATTTTTTAGGAGAAGAAAATTTCTACACCATGAGTAAATACCTTTATTTTTTCCCTTTTATTTAACTTAAAAAAATATCTTTCAGATTTATATTATGGTTAATTAAAATATGGTTCTATTTCTCTCACCTTGGCGTTTCCCCCCCCCCCCCCTCTCACACACACACACACACACACACACACACACACACACAATAGGTGCATTTATATAATGGCTTAAAATTATATTTATTTAAAAAGAAAAATGTCAAACCACATAACCTTCAAGTTCATTTTTACTAATACCTAGCAATATTATAAATTTTAAAATTCAGTTTTAGAGTTTCCTCAGAAATTCACAGAGACATATTTAATGAATAAATAAAACAAATTTCTATGATCATGGTTTAAATTATAAGTTGACCTTAAAATATTGGAAATATATATGATAAAAATGTTAACCAAAACAACATTTAGTTTAATTAATATCAGAAGGAATGGGTTTTAAACTAGAATTAATAATAAATAAATAAGCTATTATGTAAAAATAAATATTTAATTAGAATTAATCAGGAATTTAAAATGGTTTGCACCATGCATAACCATTAGGTTCTGACCTAATACCACCCAAACAAGTCCAAAACCAATTTAATTAGGACATATCCACAACATCTTAATAAAAAATATGTAACCTAACTCTCAGATAACTGGGAATTAAAGCCAAACAAATCTCAATATTGAGAAGTCTTAAGCAATACAAACAAAGTGCTTAAAGATTTGGTGTATCTATAACCTGCATAAACACTTTTGAAATATATATTCTACTCAGGTACACACAGAATCTTACAAAACTACATTACTGATTATGCCATAAATAAAATAAAAAACATAAAAATAGAAAAGGAAAAGATAGTCTGTTGTTTTCCCTCATTGATATTATTTTAAATGCAGAAAAACAACTGAAACAATAGTAAATTTTTTAAAATCAATTAGCTTATCAAGTTTTCGAGATACGGTATTAATATAACACTCACAAGGGCATTCAGCAACAATGTACAATTAGTACTATTTTAAGTTCTCAGCTTTGTTTCAGCCAGATATAATTTGCTTCTTTCTGCAATTGTTTTAGTCAATTTTGTATTGCTGTGAACAAAAGACCCAACAAGAACAAACAGAGGAGGAAAATTTTATGTAGGTTCACCGTTTCAAAGGTTTCATCCATGGCTGGTCAACTCCATAATTCTGGGCACAGGTGAAGTGGAACAGCATAGAGAAAAGGCCCAACAGAGGAAAGCAGCTCAGAACACGGCAGCCAGGAAGCAGGCAGAGATCTGCTCACCAGGGACAAAATATAAATCCCAAAGGCATGCCCCAGTGACCTACTTTCTCTAGTCATGCCTTACCTGCCTTCAACTACCAGCCAGTAAATCTGTATCAGTGGATTAACTCACAAAGCAGATTATACCTCTTATAGTCAAATCCTTTCACCTGCTACTATTCTTGCATTGTCTTATCCATGAGCTTTGGGGGTACCTCATATCTAAATCATAAAAGCAACCAAAGTTTGTCTTCTGAATCTCCTTTATCTAGTTGCTTTGTGCAGAAGGGAACAGTATTGAAGTATAAAACATGATTATATTTATCTATTCTAAATCGTACAGTTACCATTTTATAATACAGGTAGGGGGAGGGGGACACTTTATCTTCCTCTATCCTTTTCTTGACCACATTTCCTATGTGCCACATGAAAGCCCATAGTACCGGAATGTGACATATTATTTAAATATCAGTCTACCCATTATTATATTTTTGCTATCCACCTTAAAAGCAACCCTTCCACACTCTATATTCACATATAATTTTCTCAGATTGATATGTTAACAAAAGAACTGCCTTGATATAGAAAATTGAAAATTATCTGTGTTCAAAGACAACTGCTTTCCATGACCAAAACTTTCCTTAATCTGCAATTCTATGCACTTTGTGTGTGCAGATTCCCAAAAGGGCAATGTTTCCAACTCTTTGCATGTGAGTGCTACTGTAAGTATATTGTCTTTTCATGGGTTATTGGCTGTGCTTTGTAAAGCATACAGATTTTTTTTGTTTGTTTGTTTTTGTTTAGTATAAGGCTAACAACATGAGTACTTCTTATACCGTCTACATTTATTTTGGTAAGTGAAAAACAGAGACAGAGAATGAGATGAAGAGGGAGGGTGTTTCCTTGAATCATTGACAAAACAACAACAGTTATCTGAAGATGCTCTCATTGATTTCATCATAAGATCATCATTGTGATTTGTTCAAAAACTTAGAATTGTACCATAGTGCAATTTCTTACCTACCCGGAATTCTACTGTTAAAATTTGTTTTCTAAAATTCTAATGTAATGCTGTTTATGCTAACATAAATAAATAAAAGTGGATTGATAAACTCTTGTACCTACTTTGTAAGAAAAATGTAGTTTTGGAGCAGAATGTCGAGACACCTGGGTTTCCTAAGTTGATGTGGATTGTGTCCTGGGAACATGGCTGCGGGTCTTTTGCATAGCATCTCCTGGTGGTGTTATTCTACGTTCTGCCTGTGTCTCTACATTTCTCTACATTTTTTTCAAATAAGAATCAGCTGTAGGAAATTTAAGAAATATCTAGTTCCAAAAGGTTATGTTCCCTAACTTGTTTTGAACAGTATCATATATAGATATACACCGAGTAAATATTATTGGATTATAATGTTGGGTTAAACATTCATGTGCATTTGTCAGAAATGAAATTCAGATGTAGAAAAGACTTTAAAAATGAACTGTGGGAAATGGGGGATTTCTACTCAATGGGTATAAAATTTCAGTTATGCAATATGAAAAAGTTCTAGAGATCTTGTGCTTGTAGTTAATGTAGCATACATAGCACACTATAACATACATAAAATATTGTTCAAGTGGTAGATTTCATAATATTATTTTTTTTACCACAATACAAAAAAAATGAACTATGTTACCCTTACTTTTTATTAGATTTGAGAAATAAATCTCCTCTCCAAATTAAGTGTTTTCCAGTATTAAATATCTTATGGATATTTAATGTGCACAACCTATAACCAGCTTCACTTCATTGAGAGCTGAGAGCAGAGTAGAAAAGCAATATATTATACGTTTATTGTTATTTCTATATCCAGTAAGTTTCTTTTTGCATTTCTTTTTTAAGCACAAACTACCTCAAATTTCAAAATAAACCAAGAAACTGACTTCTGCCTGAATCAAAATTGGCTGAAATTCATGTCAGTAACAGATGTGCAGAATGTGATAAGAAGGCAAATTTGATGTGTTCAACACATGATGTCTACTGCAACATGCAGCTGGATGAAAACAGAATCAACAGTAAAAACAATTGACTCAAATTTCAGATGTTTGACTCTCATGTCCAAATGATTCAATGAAAGCATAGTTCACATTCTAATGTTTATATAGCCAAGATTATTGAAAAACTATATTTCAAGCTGTAATTAATTTTGACATTTAAAGAAAACATTAATAAACAAAATGATAATTTGCTGACATTTTGTCAACTTCTTCTTTTAATATGCTTCACATAACCTTATATATAAATCTTCCTTTATTAAAAAAAAAGTATGACTTAGAAGAACTGAATGTCCCAAGGTTCCAATTTTGAAATATGTTGTTTTATTTAAAGGGGGAGAAAAAGTCATCAAGAACCACCATTTCACATAATTGTGACTAGTAATCATCAGGAGAAAATTAGTCATTACCCCAGAGATATGACCTTTGAAAACAAGATTATTTGAGAGTAGAGTCATTTTTAGAAGACTTAAATTTTTACTGTGTACCAAATACTTTTACATAGAATATTTCTCAAAATATCTCAATGAAGGGATTTCTCTAATCAATAGGGATTTTCTTCAATCCTTACAAAACTAAGTGTGTCAAATGATATTGGAAAAAATTTATTACTAACTTCCAGGAATCAAAAGAATTTAGTTTTTTAGCCAGCTAAAGCTGATTATAGTGTATTTTTCTTCAATAGAATGCTCTGGTCACAAGGTACAATATTGACTTCAACTCTTATCCGTGCATATGGTGGGGAACCTCATATAAACAGTTAGAGCCTGTTTTGGGGAACTCTGCTTCAAACAGCCTTAAATCCAGTCTTACACACACAAGTTCAACCGAGTAAGTCCTTAGACTGCAAGCTATTTACCTTACTGTCCATATTTTCTTACTTTCTGAGAGAATTAAATGTTTTTACATTGGAAACAAAGTATGTAGGATGCTAAAAATTCTGCTAAATGGTAAAGAAGCATCAATTGTTATGCTAATAAAGCAAATTTAAATGAATAAACTGCACTTATGACTATCTATATATGTGTGGAATCATACCTGGGCAAAGACGTGGATAAAACACTGGGCTTAGATATTCGACTTAATTTTATACACTGCCAAACTTGCATGCAGTTTTTTTTTTTTTTTTTTTTTTTTTAATCAATAGCAAATTGTTTTCAGAAGATTTGTTTTATTTCCTCAGAGTTTCCCCAAAATCACTAAAATCCTCTAGTTGAATAAACATGATTCTTCAATAAATACTGGTTGGGAAAAGCAGAGTTTTGTCATCACATAGATTTAAAGATAAATGACCACATCATGTTTTTACCCAATTTTTTGTCTTTGTGTTCTTGAATGGTTTCAAACAAATTCAATCTTTTAATATTGATTAGACATTCTGGAAACCTCTTTGTGTTCTGGAGATTTGTCCTGTTTCCCCATCTTCGTTTGAGAGTTATCAGCTGTTATGGTTTAGACATGAGATGTGCCCTAAAAGCTCCTGTATTTAGGCAGGAGGTGAATTGGTTAATTATAAGAGTTGTAATCTAATTAGACCACCCTCATTTGAAGGACTAACTGGGTGAATGGTAGGCAGAAGGGGCATGCTAGAGAAGGGAGGTCACTGGGGGCATGCCCAAAGTGACCACTTCCCTGTGGCCACTTCCCCTCTCTCTGATTCCTGGCTACCATAAACAGCATAGCAGTTTTCCTCTCTCACATCCTTCCACTATAATTCTCTGCTTCACCGGGGTCCTGAGCAGTGAATTTAGACCCTCATGTAGTAAGGCTCTGAAACCATGAGCTGAAATAAGCTTTCCTCCTCCAAGTTGTTCTTGTCAGGTATTTTAGTCACAGTGACACAAACCTAACTAACATACAAGCCCACACTTGAATACAACTAATAAAGCCAAGCTTTATTTCTGTCTTTGTTTTTAGAATTTTTCAATGTGTTGCTATGCCTTTAGCAAGATTTTCTTGAAGAACTACTAGGCCGTGGGATAAGAATGGAAAATATTTTTAAAATGTAGGAGCAATTTGAACCTCATTAACTTAAGTTACTTCTTTCAAATGCGAAAACTAATGGTTGGAAAAAAAAATATCTGATTACATTTTCTGTTTTCTTGGAACTTCTTTTATAAAAATACTGCCAGATATGTCACCTTAGATCAGAATCCAGAATGCATCACCCGCATTATTTGATCAAATTGATTTACAAAGCAGATTAGAAGAACATAAGAGAAAAGAATTCAGGACAGGTGATCTTTATCATTAATGAAGATTTGGAAAATATCTCCAGGGCTGGGCACTACTTAAAGAAAGAAAATCGTTTCTAATACACAGAAATGTCTTATGGCAAGTCTCAGTTAAGACTTATTATTTCAGAAAGACAGGATATAGCCAGATACTTTCTGCACCTCAAAGAGAATTCTGCCCAACCAGTAAATATTTATTTATTAAATATACATCCACACAAAATATATGTACACAAACAACTCTTTAGTTTTTAAAAACATAAATTAAATAAAGAAAAACTATTTAAACCCTATTTTCTAAAAGTTTACTACTTTGGATCTGGGAAAGATAGGCAAACAATTTGCGAGGAATCTGTGTCAGAAATTCAAACAATAGAAATACAGACACAAATAATAATTAACTTTGATTTGTGGGAAATAGAAACATTTCATAGACAAAATAGAACTTGAATTGTATGTTGGAGACTTTCAGAGTATAATCATGATATGAATAAAGTAAAGACAGAGCACATCAGTAAACTTACAAGAACTGATGAAACGAGATGATCCAGAGACTGTGAGGATGATTAGGGGAAGTGGGAAGAGATACCTCTGTAAATTTGAACTTGAATTTAAGAACTGATTGTAAACAATAGTGAACTTTGACTTCATTGAAAAGGGATAAGAGAAAAAAAAAAAAACTCTCAGACTTTTTTGATTTGGTAAGGGTTAGAATGTAAAATAAAGAGATGCTGAGTCTAAGCAATAGTTCTATTGGGTATGGATATATATACACAGCTGAGATGGCAACCGAAGTTACCAAAGATATGAAGACAACTGACGACCTTTACATAGTAGTTAGATGAGAAAACACACCACCTGATTTGGGCAGTGAGTGAAGAGAAAGAGAAAAAATAATAATAATTCCAATGAAGAGTAATCCCCTAGAGGTGTGGGACTGTAATTGAACACTATTTCTTACTCTCAGGAACTGACACTAAACTCTGTGTATTAAATATGCATTATTCTTTTCACTCATAAAAAGCTGTATGTTGAGATCTGCCCACACCGACCTGCGTGGGACTCAGGACTAGGGTGGGCCCGGGTCCATCATGCCACCGGCGGACACCCTCCGAAGCTCAGGCTTCAGCACAAGACCGCCTCTTCTGACCAACAGACCACCACCAAAGCAAAGGCCTGGCCCACACCTGCTTATGCCAACATACATGGGACTCAGGCCCAAGGTACGTCTGAGTTGGCCACCCCCAGTCCCCTGGGAGCCCAAGCTTAAACCACTTCCATCTTGGGATACTGCAGTCATTTCCATAGCCTTTCCCAAGCAGTAGCCCCTACCTTTTGAAAACAGACAGGTCCTAGAAGCAGCTGCATCTCAGAGAAGACATCCCAAAGACAGGGTAAGTCTCACTCTTTAAGCCCCATCTCTGTAAGAAGTCTCATCCATCTTGGGGCACCTCCACTATTATCTCGAGTTTACTCAGCTATTGCCGCCACCACCATTAGTTGCAGTAGCATCCACTGAGGGACACCAGCAAGGTCTGGAAGCCTGACATCAAAGTGAGATACACAATCTGCACGGATACTACAAAAATATATGGTAGAAACTGTAATATCTTAGATCTGCACTGCAAGAAAGGAAGACACATAGACAACATGAAAAAAACAAGGGAGGAAAGTGCCCCAAATAAAAAAGGATACTACAATAACAGAACCCATGGACAGCGAAGTTGATGAAATGACAGAGAAGTTTAGAAGGTTTATAATTAAATGATCTGTGAATTAAAGAATAACCTAAATGAGCAAACACAGGCAAAAGCTAATCACTCCAACAATGAGATTAGAGAACAAACACAAGTAGCAAAAGATTACTTCAAGAGAGAGATAGAGACTCTGAAAAAAAAATAAACAGAAATCCTTGAAATAAAGGATACAATAAGCCAAATTAAAAACTCAATAGAAAGCATGACTAACAGACTAGATCACTTGGAAGAAAGAATGTCAGATAATGAAGACAAAGTATACAACCTGGAAAATAAAGTTGACCACACAGTGAAGATAGTAAGAAACCATGAACAGAACATCCAAGAATTATGGGACAGCATCAAAAGACTAAATCTAAGAGTTATTGGGATAGAGGAAGGCACAGAGTTTCAAGCCAAAGGAATGCACAATCTCTTCAATGAGATAATATCAGAAAATTTCCCAAGCATGAATAATGAATTGTAAAATGAAATACAAGAGGCTTATAGGACACCAAATGTACAAAATTGCAATGGATCTACACCAAGTCACATTATAATAAAAATTCCTTACATACAGAATGAGGGTAGAATTTTAAAGGCCACAAGAGATCACATATAGGGAGAGGCCAATTCATATCTCAGCAGATTTTTCAAAACAGACGCTCAAAGCCAGGAAATTGTGGGACAATATATACCAAGCTCTGAAAGAAAATGGATGCCAATTAAGAATCTTATATTCAGCAAAATTAAGCTTTAGATTTGATGATGAAATAAAAATATTCCATGATAAACAAAAGTTAAAAGAATTTACAACCAGAAAGCCTATACTACAGAATATCGTCGGCAAAATACTCCATGAAGAGGGTGAAAAAACAATGATGCAAATCAGCAGAAGGAGGTATTACACTAAAGGAAAAACTAATCCGAGGAGAAACAAAGTCAAGGTAAATACCCCAAATAGACACAAATGGCTGGGAATACAAACAATGTCTCAATAATAACCCTGAATGTTAATGGCCTAAACTCACCAGTAAAAAGACATAGACTAGCCGACTGGATTAAAAAAAAAAAAAAAAACAAAAACCAACAATATGCTGCCTCCAAGAGACTCATCTCATAGGAAAAGATATCCACAGACTGAAGGTGAAGGGGTGGGAAAAATCATACTATTCACGTGGACTGCAGAAGCAAGCAGAGGTTTCCATCTTCATACCAAATACAGTAGACTTCAAGCTAAAGTTAATCAAAGAGATAAAGAAGGACACTACATACTGCTCAAGGGAACCATACACCAACAAGACTTAACAATTGTAAATATATATGCCACAAACAATGGAGCATCCATGGTCATCAAACAAACTCTACTCAAGTTCAAGAGTCAAATAGACCACAACACAATATTTTGGGTGACTTTAACACACCTTTTTCACCACTAGATAGATCTTCCAAACAAAAGCTGAACAAAGAAACTATAGAACTCAATAATAAAATCAATAACTTAGAATTAACTTATATATATAGAATTTTTTTTCTTCAATGAGCAAATACACTTTCTTCTCAGTGGCACATGAATCCTTCTCTAAAATAGAACATATATAATGCCAAAAAGCAACTCTTCAAAAATATAAGAAAGTAGAGATACTACCATGCATTCTATAAGATCATAATGGAATTAAATTAGAAATTGATGATAAATAATAAATAAAAGCTACTTCAACACTTGGAGACTAAATAACATGCTACTGAATGAACAATGGGTTTCAGAAAACAGCAAGGAGGAGATTAAAAAAAATAGAGGTGGATGAGAGTACAGATACAACATATCAAAATCTCTGGGACACTATGAAGTCAGTTCTAAGAGGAAAGTTCATTGCATGGAGTTCATTCTTTAAAAGAAGAAAAGATCAACAAATAAATGACCTAACATTACATCTCAAAGCCCTAGAAAAAGAATAATAAATCAACACCCAAAACAGTGGGAGACAGGAAAAAATTATAATCAGAGCTAAAATCAATGAAGTTGAAACAAAAGAAATAATTTAAAAAATTGATAAAACAAAAAGTTGGTTCTTTGAAAAAATAAATAAAATTGACAGACCCTTAGCCATGCTAATAAAGAAAAGGAAAGAGAAAATTTAAATTACTAACATACATGATTAAAAAGGAAATATCACAACAGACACTACAGAAATACAGAAGATAACTAGAAGTTATTTTGAAAACTTGTACTCCAATAAAATAGAAAATATCAAAAGCATCAACAAATTTCTAGTGTCATATGATTTGTCCAAATTGAATCAGGATAATTTACATAATTCAAACAAATCAATTTCGAGTGATGAAATAGAAAATGCCATCAGAAGCCTACCAACCAAGAAAATCCCAGGACCAGATGAATACACAGCTAAGTTCTATAGACATTTAAGAAAGAACTGATAACATTACTCTTAAGTTTATTTCAGATAATAGAAAAAGAGGGAGCACATCCAAACTCATTCTATGAGGGCAATATCACCCTGATTTCAAAGCCTGGCAAACACACATCAAAAAAAGAAAACTTCAGACCAATATCTCTAATGAACATAGATACAAAAATTCTCATTAAAATTCTGGCAAATAGAATACAAAAACGTATCAAAAAGATCATGCACCACAATCAAGTGGGATTCATCCCAGGGATGCAAGGTTGGTTCAATATATGGAAAACAATAAATGTAATTCATCACATCAATAGACATAAAGATAAGAACCATATAATCATCTCAGTAGATGCAGAAAAAGCATTTGACAAAATACAGCACCCCTTCATGTTCAAAACACTAGAAAAATTAGGGATGACAGGAACATACCTCAACATCATAAAGGCTATCTATGCTAAGCCCCAGGCCAACATCATTCTAAATGGAGAAAAATTGAAAGCATTCCCTCTAAAACCTGGAACAAGACAGGGATGCCCTCTTTCATGACTTCTGTTTAACATAGCTCTTGAAACACTGGCCAGAGCAATTAGACAGATGAAAGAAATTAAGGGATACACATAGGAAAGAAGATCTCATAGTGGCACTAGTTGCTGATGATATAATTCTATCCCTAGAAGACCCAAAAAACTCTACCAGAAAACTTCTAGAACTAGTAAATGAATTCAGCAAAGTAGCATGATATAAAATTAATACCCATAAATCAAAGGCATTTTTGTATATTAGTGATAAATCCTCTGAAGGAAAATGAGAAAAACTACCCTATTTACAATAGAATTAAAAAATATAATTAAATACTTGGAAATCAAGTTAACAAAAGAGGTGAAAGACCTATGAAATGAAAACTACAAAATGCTAAAGAAAGAAATTAAAGAAGACCTTAGAAGACGGACAGGTCTACTTTGTTCTTGGATAGTCAGAATTAATATTGTCAAAATGACCATACTACCAAAAGCACTATACAGATTTAATGCAATTCCAATCAAAATCCCAATGACATTCCTCATAGAAGTAGATAACGCAGTCATGAAATTCATCTGGAAAAATACGAGACCCAGAATAGCTAAAGCTATCCTTAGCAAGAAGAGTGAAGCAGGTGGCATCAATATACCAGACCTTAAACAATACTACAGAGCAATAGTAACTAAAACAGCATGGTATTGGCACCAAAACAGACAAGTAGACCAATAGTACAGAATAGAGGACACAGAGTCTAATCCATATAATTACAGTTATCTTATATTAGACAAAAGTGCCCAAAACATGCATTGGAGAAAAGATAGCCTCTTTAACAAATGATGCTAGGGAAACAGAAATCCACATGCAACAAAATGAAATTAAACCCCTATCTCTCACCATGCACAAAACTCAACTCAAAAGTGGATCAAGGACCTAGGAATTATACCAGAGACACTGTGTCTATTAGGGAAAAAAAAGTAAGCCCAAATCTCCATCATGTGGGATTAGGCCCCAACTTCCTTAATAGGACTCCTATAGTGCAAGAGTTACTATCAAGAATCAATAAATGGGATGGATTCAAATTAAAAAGCTTCTTAGCAATAGAAACAATCAGTGAGATGAAAAGAGAGTCTACTAATTGGGAACAAATTTTTACCACATGCACGTCAGATAGAGCACTAATCTCAAGAATATATAAAAAAACTCAAAAATCTTAACACCAAGCAAACAAATAATCCAATCAATAAATGGGCCAAGGAACTGAACAGACACTTCTCAGAAGAAGATACACTCTATCAACAAATATATTAAAAAATGTTCAATATCTCTAGCAACTAGAGAAATGCAAATCAAAACTACCCTAAGGTTTCATCTCATTCTAGTCAGAATGCAGCTATTAAGAATATAAACAATAATAAGTGTTGTTGAGAATGTGGGGGGAAAGGCACACTCATACATTGCAGGAGGGACTGCAAATTGGTGTAGCGAGTATGGAAAGTGGTATGAAGAATCCCTGGAAAACTAAGAATGGAACCACCAGTTGACCCA